AAGAATACCTAATCGCACCACAATCGTAGTTTTTTGGTGCGATTTGAGTTATGTACAATTTATTAAGTAGTAATCATACTCAAAAATTAATGAATCGCATCACACCCAAAACGGATTAACATTCGTTGGTAAGCAACGATTAGGGTAATCGCATCGCACCCAAAACGGAGAGCCATCTTTTGGTTCTGACATGGACCAAACTTGACCATTGTCTAATTTATTACAATGAAATGTTTTTCGTCGCTCTCTATTTTTTTGTTCTTTCTATAATAAGATGAAACATGTGCAAGCTTTCTTTGAAACCGGACGACAAAAGAGTAGGTGATCATGAGTTTACATGTTGTATGGGTCCTCGAGTGCTTTTCTTATAGATATCAACTCTCAGATTGTAACAAGTTTTTTACTTGCTCTCTAATTATTGNCATACTCATGTGGATACCTTCATAAATTTATTTTACTCCCAAAAACAGAAAAGACTTTAGTTTAGTAATCTAGAATTGTCCATGTTTGGGTTCTATGGGCCGTACCACCTCTTTATTGTTTTTATTGGCTTTATTGGTTGTATAAAACCTAGTTTCGATTTCAGTTTTCTCATTATCATTTCTGTAACACTCTTCGTCTATCCGCTCGTCGCATCCATGAGCAAGCCTGAAATCTCGTCGATAGGGTCAGGATTTGAGGTGAATTTTCTGAGTATCGTCTTTTTTTTTTGTACGTACGCTTTCCTCTTAGAGTTTTTTGTTTTTGTTTTCAATGGTTGGGATGCGAGAGAAGTATTTTTTCTATTTTTGTCGCATTTGTAAATCTTCTATAATTATTTGATCATTGAACGATAGTTACTGGTCCTGATCCATTCCAATTTCCTAACTCTTAGTTTTGTTTTCTAGTGCCCTAGTGGTCTATAAATTACTTTCTCTCTGATTAAATCTGATTTCACGATGCATGCCCTAGAAATATTAATAAGACATTTGCTTCTTCTTTTTTTTGCTAAAAACATTTGGTTTTATTCACACTATATCTTTGTTTGCTGAGTAATAATAGCACTGAATGAACAAACATACTTTGTGTTTTTTTTTTATGGCAAAATCAGCACATATGGCATTTCTTTATGCTGGTTCTTTTAAAATAGCATGGAATTTCTTTCAAATCTTTTATCAGAAGCCAAGCTTGTTATAAATTGAGTTATAGAAACTTGATGAGGACTCGTCTTCCAATAAGAAGAAAACTTACCATGGACTCAGTTGACTGGAGAACTCAATTGCCACCTGGTTCACGCCACAAGATTGTCAACGAGATGTAAGTTTACCTTGGCGTTACGTGTTTGCAAACTTCTCATAGCTAGGATTATTCTGTCTATGCCAGTTAAATTCTGTAGAAATACAAAGGGGGGTTTTTATGCTCTTATATTTGCATTGACCAATACTTGTGTTTTCTTACTTGTTTTTTGCAATTTTGCACAGAATGGAAACACTAAGAAAGCACCTTCCATTTTCTGGGGCAGAGGAAATTAACGAGCTCAGAAGACTTGCTGCCAGATTGGAGGACAAAATTTTCAGCGATGCTATTAACCAGGTAATTAACTGCGATATGAACATATATAGTTTTGTCTCGTTAGTGTCATAGTGTGATTTAAGACTTGTGAGGCAATGTGTACCTTTTTTATATATTCTTTGATTTGGACTTTCAGACTGATTACCTTCGGAAAATATCCGCGAGAATCTTGACAATGGAGATGAAATCGCAAAATGCAGCCGGCTCTTCCTCATCTATCCTTGCTTCTAATAACAGCATACCCTTGGATCTATGTAAATAAATGACTTTCTTTTTCCTTCATTAAATACCTTCATTCATGTACTAGCATGCATGCAGAAGCTTGTTTTTCTCTTGGTGTAAGCTATATGCACATGCCCGCTTGATTTGACATTATTATCCCGTTTGGTTTTGTTATACGTTTTGCTTTCTCTGGTTTTACCGAGTTAGAAATCTAATCTCGGTGCTTTGTGAACATATATAGGTGACGCCATTTCAAGGCCTTCTCTTCCGAACGGAGAACCAACCAGGAACATAGATTACTGGAGAACTCAGCTCCCACCAGATTCACGTCAGAAGAATGTCAACACGATGTAAGTTCATTTAATTACACATTGTATTTTGTCTCTCCAAAGTAAAATTCTGTAAACTTGTAACGTTTTGTCACATTTGCCTTGACCAATAAATAATTTTCAT